GCTTGGGAGACCATGTGAATATGACAGAAAGACAATTCATGATGGCTTCAAGAACACTTACTCTTTCTTTAAATATGGAAAGAAGATCAAACGGCTCCCAATGAACCCTGAAGATTTAAAGAAGTCAAATCCTAAAGTGAAGGAGACATACATCACAAGAGCTATTGTAAAAATATACTTGAAGGAGAGAGAGGAAGTGCTTGTTGTGGTACCTAAGGAAGTGGAATCTATCACGAAGAAAGAGTCATTAGAAGTCATTGACCCACGACTTCAAGCAATATTAGATGAGTTTCATGATATTGTGTCTGATACTACACCTTCTTCCTTACCACTAATGAGGTCAATTTAACATCAAATTGATTTTATTCCAAGTGCACCACTTCCTAATAAAGTAGCACATCGATTGAATCAAACACAGCAAGAGGAACTTCAACGACAGGTTGAGGAACTGCTAGATCGTGGACTAATAAGGGAAAGTTTAAGTCCTTATGATGTACCTGCCTTGCTTGTTCCTAAGAAAGATGGATCTTGGTGCATGTGTGTTGATAGTCGTGTTATTAACAAGATCACCTTCAAGTACATGTTTCCTATTCCTAGGCTTGATGATCTTTTTAATCAATTACATGGGACCAAGATATTTTCTAAAATAGATTTGAAGAGTGGCTATCACAAAATTCAAATGAAGGAGAGTGATGAATGGAAGACTACATTCAATATTGGCAAGGGATTGTACGAATGGCTTGTCATGCTATTTGGCTCTCTAACGCTCCTAGCACATGTATGAGACTCATGACACAAATTTTTCATCCATACATGGGAAAATTTGTCGTTGTTTATTTTGATGATATACTTATTAATAGCAAGGATGATCAACAACATTTGAAGCACTTGAGAGAGATTTTTGAATTTTTAAGAGAGCAAACCCTTTATGCCAATTTGAAGAAGTGCAAGTTCTTTTCCGAGCAAGTCTCTATTCTCGGTTAATATTGTCTCTAGTGAGGTAATTCATGCCGACTCAGGAAAGATTGAAGTTATTGCTAGCTGGCCTATACCAAAAAGCTTAACAGAGATTCACAGTTTTCATGGTATGGTTTCTTTATATCGGCGTTTTATAAAGAATTTTAGCTCTCTTGTTGCTCATATTACCGAGTATTTGAAGGAAAACTCATTTAAATGGACGGATATTGCCCAAAAGAGTTTTGAATTAATTAAGGCAGATGACGCAAGCACTTGTGCTTGCTTTTCCCAACTTTGATGTAATCTTTGAAGTTGAATGTGATGCTTCCGAAATTGGGATTAGAGTTGTTCTTGGTCAAGAAGGTAGACCTATTGCTTATTTTAGTGAGAAGCTGAATGATGCAAAGTTCAAGTATTCTACTTATAACAAGGAGTTATATGCCATTGTTAGTGCTCTTTCTCATTGGAGTCACTATCTTTTACCTCGAGAATTTGTACTTTATTCTGATCGTGAGGCCTTGAAGTATGTGAATAGCCAACATAAACTCAAAATTAGGCATGCCAAGTAGGTAGAACTTTTGCAAGCCTTTCACTTTATTATTAAATACAAGGATGGAAATGTCAATCAAGTAGCTGATGCATTAAGTCGCACGCCTTGTTTTATTTCTGCCATGCAAAATACTATTGCGGGTTTTGAGCACATAAAGAAATTATACGCAACAGATCCGGACTTTGGAGCTATTTGGGGTCAATGATGGGAGGGTCCTCAGTGTATCTTTTTGCTTAAGGATAGTTATCTTTATTATGGTAAACAACTTTATATTACACAAGGAAGTTTGCGTGAATTTATAATCCGTGAGTCTCATGAGGGAGGTTCGCTAGCCACTTTGGGCAAACAAAGACTCTACGCTTAGTTCAAGAAAACTTCCATTGGCCTAAGATGGTTCAGAATGTCAATAAGTTGGTTGAAAGATATGAAACTTGTATAAAAGCAAAAATGCACAAAAGCAATTCGGGTCTTTACACTCCTCTGCCAATTCCTACTCAACCTTGGGAAGACATTAGCATGTACTGTGTTGGGCCTTCCAAGGACTCAAAGAAGTAAGGATTCCATCTTCGTGGTTGTTCATCGATTTTCAAAGATGGCTCACTTTATTCCTTGCAATAAGACTTCAGATGCAACAAATATTGCTGATCTCTTCTTTGATCATATTGTAAAATTGCATGGAATTCCCAGACCTATTGTTTCAGATAGGGATTCCAGGTTCCTAGGTCATTTTTGGAGGACTTTATGGGCTAAACATGCTACTAAGCTAACACCTAGCACTTTTCATCATCCCCAAAGTGATGGGCAAACCGAAGTTATCAACCGAAGTTTAGGTGCTTTGCTTCGTGGGTTAATAAAGAAGAATCTCAAAGAGTGGGAATCGTTACTTCCTACTGCTGAGTTTGCCTTCAATAAGTCAACCAACCGCAATACAGAAAAGAGTCCATCCGAAGTCGTTTATGGTAAGAATCCTATTGGACCACTTGATTTTTCCCCTCTTCTAGTTACTCATTCCTTTAGTGGAGATGTTGCTGATTGAGTGAAGCAACTCAAAAAAACTAAATGAGAAAGTTCATGCACATATCGAGAAGCAAAATGCTAAATATAAAGAAAAAACGGATACACGTAGAAAACATGTGGTGTTCAAGGAAAGCGACCTAGTTTGGGTTCATTTGAGTAAGGAGAGATTTCCAAACCACAAGTTTTCAAAATTACAGAAGCGAGCTGATGGATCTTTTAAGGTACTGCAAAAGATTGGTGATAATGCTTATTGCTTGGAGCTTCCCAATGACTTTGAAATATCACCTATCTTCAATGTAGCAAAGCTTGATCCCTACTATTCCAATGACTCGAGGGAGAGTCCTTTTCAACTAGGGGAGAATGATGAACATATAAGCTCAAATCTTGATGCTAGACAAGCACAAGTGGAGTTTATATTTTCTACAATAATGGAGGCTTATTGGGCTTATGAAGGTGTCAATGGGTTTGGAGAATTGGGCCACGAATTTAAAATGCTTACACTAATTAGCCTTAGTCCAATTGAGGCCCAAGAATTTCAAGAAATTGAAGAAGTCCAAGTCCATTCAAGATTAGGATTTCTTTTCCTTAAAGTTTAGGATTTCTTAATTCTTGTTTTAGTAGGATTATATTTATAGTTCTAGTCAAACTAGGATTGGTAGTTGGCAGTCCATTCCTATAGAATTCTTTTTCCTATTTTAGTTAGGTAGGTTTTCTTAGCCTTATTCTTATTCTAGTTTAATTAGGATTAATTTTCCTTAGCCTTATCAATTTTACTCATTGTAAGGCCTATTTAAAGGGCTCAATATGCTGAAAATAAACATTGGTGATTAGTTTGTCTAAGCTCTTGCTTCAAAAACGTGATTTACTTTTTATTTCATTGTTCTTCCGTTATTCAACGCTTCTTGAAATCTTGCAGGATTGAAGAATGTGTGGGTAAGGTTTCTTTTCATCTTACATTCTTCTAACATGAGTTTGAAGAACGCTTTCGCTAGTTTTGTGAAAAACTTTAGCGGGGTACTTTTGTTTTTCTCTCTTCTTTGTGCTTGAGAGGTGCAAAACCTTGAAAGTACATCATACGCGTAGCCAGACCTCGATATTGTGAGCCGTACGGACAGTCTACTGTGTTACGCGTACGAGCCACTAGTTATTCATGTTTATGAGTGAGCCTTACGGACGGTCTCTTATGAAACACGTAAGTGCCACTTTTATGTTTCAGTGTAGCCTTAGAGATGTTTGATCTTTGTAATGTAAGTATTCAGATATAAGGTATATTAAGGCTAAACATTTCCTTCATTTTGGCATGATCTCGTAACTAAACGCATTTGATAGCAAGACATAAAGAGAAGTTTGTATTCCTGAATTTATGTACATTAACCTAGTCTCATAAGTTATAGGGGTCAATTGGTTGTGGTCCTTTACAAACTTGTTTTTAGTTTTATGACCCTATCTCTTTTTTTCCAAATGGGAGATTTACTTTTACACGTAAGAAACCTGTCTTTTACAGATAAGTGATCTAAAAAGGTAATTCTCTTAATTTTAAAATTGTAATGAGGCGTGATGTGCAAATAGCACTAAGGTTATAGTATCCTCCCTTATCGAGATTTTATATTCAATTAAGTATTATTTTTTTCAGTCAAGAGAGCAGAGAGTTTATATATATACAGTATTACGGTATTTTCACCATCACCGAGCTATAATCGGTGGGCAGGTCCCTATTGGGCATCCTCTGATCACATGGTAAATTATATACCGAGCCTACTGTGGTCGAGCACTTATGTGCAAGCCCAAAATCGGCAAATAGTGATTTAGATACCGAGCCTAGTATGACCGATCCTAGTATGGCCGAGCGCCTATGAGTGAGTCCAGAATGGCAAAGTAGTGATTTAGATACCGAGCCTAGTATGGCCGAACGCCTATGAGCGAGCCTACTGCGACCAAGCATTTACCCGTACCAAGCCTTATAGAGCCAAATAGCTATTTTACTTACTATATTGAAAGAGTTGAGTCAGTATCAGCAGGTAAACATATCTTCAGATCATCTTTGACTCCTAGTTGCTTTCAGTTATTATATTATCAGCTCAGTTTCAATTCAGTTATTCATATGTTATCTGCCTTACATACTTGATACATTTCTTTGTACTAATGCCCCATCATTGGGGCACTGCATTCATGCCTACAGGTTCAGGTATCCAGTTTGACAGGCTCTTATCATTGACAGAGTTAATATCCAATTGAGGATTGGCAAAGCTCCATTTCATCAGGAGTACAACCGAGTCTAGAGGTTATCAAACCGTCCTATGTATATATATACTTACAGGTAGGTCGGAGCCCTATCCCGATGATGTTATGTCAATCAGATATTCTTAGAAGCTTTTGTAGACGCATGGACACCTGTGGTCAGTTATGTCGCTGTTAACAGCATGATGTATAGAGCGAGGCCTCGTAGGCCTATGGTGATATNGAATGAGTCGGCATGTAAATGAGGTACTGCGTGCCTGTCCACCTCACCTACGTTGGGGGGTGACAGGAAGCAGTAAAAGCGAACAATAAGATATCCCCAATATTTCACTAAACATTTATCCCGAGTACACTGCAGACTCGGCATCTACCAGAACTTGAATAACAGTTGTCCACGCAAGGTTGGAGCAGCTCAAAAATGAATATAAACATTCAGGAGCTACTTACCCATCAAGACAAAAATAAGTACATATTGCTACTAAGAGAAAAGCTAGAGTTTTAAAATCTAACAGTTGATTGATGATTATATGTCGGTGGCGTGGCTCGTTCCAATCTAGAAACCTTTTTATGGAGAAGATAGTTCTGTCTAGCCAAATCAGTTACCCAAAACAGATCCATGTTCTTATCATAAAATGCCTTGATCTACTTTGAACCTTAAACATCTGCTTCATCGATGACTGTTTCTTTCTTCCCGCTGTAACGCTGTAGAAAGGAAGCAAGTCTCAGTTGTCTTCAAAATACTAAGGTGCAACGTACGGACTGACAAATTCAGGCTTGGCCATCTAGAAAGGTTACAAAAAAAATTAAACCACAAATAACTTTCATAGATACCTGTTTGCCAAATGTGAAGGGGACATATCTATATTTGATCATGTGCATTATCTGCCTCTTCATTGTCGAAATGAATAGTACAACCCAATAGAACAACAAAATTGGCCAAAATACAGGTACATCAAATGCACTGAAGAATGTCAGCACAAAAGCGATGCAGAAGGCTTTTGTTAGCGAATACCTGTCATAGAAGCAAAGAAAAAAATCAGTTTCCAGGCAAGAACTAGTGTGTCATCATTCCTAGGACTACATGGAACAACAGAATTTGGATGGGAAACCCACTAATATAAAAGTTAGGCGCATGGATGAAGTGGAACACAGTAATACTATTTAAAACAACAACACAGTAATACTATTTAAAAGATTACATTAGAAGAAATATCAGTGATATAAAAGCTAATACCCAAAGATCTCTCTTGTGCATTACAAGAATAATAGGACAATCATAAAAATACAAAGAACCTCATGGAAGCAGCCTATTTATATTTGACATATATGGCAGGCACTACTTCTGTCTATAGCAATAAAAATCAATGTAAAACCAATATCCAGCTTTAATACAAATTATTTGCTCCCCTTTCAAGTACATTCCAAGTGAAGGTGATGGCAAATGATGAGTTCTCCAGAGTTGCCAAGACCGTCAAAAAGCCATACGACAGCAGATATTGATTCTTTTAACATACACACAAACCTGTAGCACTATAACATCGAGAACTAAATGAAAAAAGACATGATCGAGAATCCTTAGGGAAGTTTAAACCCCTTCCCAACTTTTATGATAAAGTTATAATTTATTAATGTACGAAAAGCTCCCCGTATACAAGTATTAGTATACAAAAGGTAGAGAATGAAAAGTTTAACTTTATCGCAGTGTTATCAAAGGTGAAAAGCGCAAAAAAGCTCTAAGGTCTGTTGGGGCTTTAAGTGCAACGCGCAATTAAAGCGTGAGTTTTAATGAAAAAAGGCGCAACTGGAGAAAAAGTAAAAATATGTATATATAATCCAAGACCAATAATTATAAGCATGAATAACAAATATATGGACAAAGAAATTGAAAACAATTACGATAAAGTGAAATATCAATTGTTTACTGTCGCCTTTTCAGGATTACACTCATTGGCAAGGAAAAGTATGCCTTAAAGCCTTGATGTGACACTGAAGCGCCCACAGGAGCCTCGCTTCAGGGCTTAAGCGCGCCATTGACATCACTGCTTTGTCGAATATATGTGTTCTTACTATGAGACCTTGGCTTTAACTGTATCCCATATAGCATTGATATCCTTAAAAGTTCTGTTGTTGGTTCAAAATGAAGTCACAGAAAAATTCAAAAGATATTCACAGCCAAATAGATTGAAACAACACAACTTCTATCTTTCAAGAGTATAATTATGTTACTTGTTCATGGTCATGGTTTAAATAGGCCAAATATAAAACTTCCTTGCAACGACCTGGCCGGTCGTTTTGTGTATATGAGCCCAGTTTCCCCATTTGATGTTTCTCTTGTGCTTAATTATTGTTTTGTAACTTGCAGGGATGGTTGGTTTTGCTTTGTGAAGGTTTTGGGGTGAATTGGAATACTTAGCTCCGTGGTTGGAAGTTTTAGTTATAAGAGTTGATCAAGGTTTGACTTTTGTGTTAACGAACTCGGATTCGTGTTTTGATGATTCCAATAGGTTCGTATGGTGATTTTGGACTTAGGCGTATGCCCGGAATTGAATTCGGAGGTTCCTCGGATGATTTGACTCTTTTTACAGAAAGTTGGCAATTTGAAGGTTTAGAAATTTCACAAATATGACCATGGGTTGACTTTGTGGCCATCGGGGTCGGACTGTTGTTCCGGGACTTGTAATAGGTCTGTTTTAACATTTAGAACTTGTGTGCAAAGGTTGGTCTCATTATGAATTGATTTGGTAGGAATCGGACGCTCGGTTATGATATTGAAGTTCTTGAGTTTCAAAGCTTGCATGATACATTTTGGTATTCGATTCGTGGTTTTGTATGTTATTTTGATGTTCCGAACTTGCGAGCGAGTTCATATGAGGTTTATGTGTTTGTGTGAATGTTTGGTGTGGGGCCTCCAAGGGGCTCGGGTGAGGTTCGGATTGTTTTCGGGCTGATTTTTGGAAAAGCTTCAGATTGTTGGTGTTGCAGGCCTCGCATTTGCGGATAATTGATCGCATTTGCGATGTATGGCTCAGGTTGCTAGCTTCGCATTAGCGAAGCTGGTATCGCAATTGCGAAGGGTGCTTCGCATTTGCGACGGTTAGCCGCAATTACGAGGTTCCTGGTCGTAATTGTGATGTCTGCTGCTTAGGGGCCAAGTTCGCTTTTCCGAGCCCTTCTTCGCAATTGCGAGGGTCGCATTTGCGAACCCTTCGGTCGCAAATGCAATATCCGCAGCTGTTATAACATATGTCATTTCTGGACTTGGACCCATTTCATCATACTTTAAGCCCTAGACTTTGAGCCGTACGAGGGTGATTTTTAAAGGAAAGGTATTTTTGGAGTATTAATTTGGCTTGTTTGAGGTAAGTATCTTGCCTAACCTTGTGTGAGGGAATAACCCCTAAGGATTTGGTCTTCTTTGCTTATACGTGCTATGTGAGAAGCGACGTGTACGCGAGGTGACAAGCATATACACGGGTGCTATGTGTGGCTTATGACAGGATTAGGACCTTAGGCTATTAATATGCTTAATTTAATGATGTGCTTTATATGAAACATGCCTAATCACTTTGTGAATACATGAACATGATCGCTGCAATTGACTTAGCTGTAGTCATGCTTTATATGTTGAACACCCATCCGCATTTTTATTATTGGCATGTTCTTGTGCACCTTATTGATAAATTCAGAGCTTATATATTTGATGAAAATTTGGCATATTGATTTGTGATAATTATGGCACATGTGGACATATTGAACGGATTGATTGGGTGTTGGCACAAGGTCTTTGTCGTGCGATTGTGATTATTGTGATGCACATGGGGAGAAATAAGGGTAGCGTTTGCTCAGGTTGCCCATGTGGCGAAATAAAGGTGATGATGTGCGCATATGGTGAAATAAGGGTGGCATTTATTGTTATTACACATGCGGCAAAATAAGGGTGACATTATTGATGACGTTATGTGATATGATTAGGTAGTGATTCTCTTGATGATGTTCTTGTGACGAAGCGGGGATGATATTTTGCTCATATACATATTTTCTTTAAACTCAGTCATGTATTTTTATGAGTTCCAAGTTGAATTTGACATGCTATTAAGTGCCTCCACTTCTATTTGATGATTTGATGTCAAAGATGGATTCTCCTATGTTGAGTTGTTATCACATGTTCTAACGAGATTGATGATATTGTTTTCTGTTACATATTTACTGTCAGTTATTAATATATTGCACAGGTTTTCTTGACTAGTGAGTATCATATGACTTGAACCTCATCACTACTTCACCGAGGTTAGTCTTAGATACTTATTGGGTACTGGATGTGGTGTACTCATACTACACTTCTGCATATTTTTGTGCAGATCCAGGTGTTGGAGGCAGCGGACTTAGAGAGTGAGTGCTACACTGGTCACCAGGATTCAAGATAGAGCTGCATGATTGTCGCAGTCCCTTGCAATCCCCTCCTTACATTGATACTGTTAGATTTCATATCCGAATAGTATTGTATTTGAGACATCCTTATGTATTCAGTTAAAGCTCATGACTCTGTACTACTTAATTCAGGGAAGTTGTATTGTGTATTGCCATTTTGGCTTGTGTTAATTCCATTTCCGCTTCTATATTAGATTACAACAACATACCCAGTATTATCCCACACCGTGAGGTCTGGAAGGGTAGAGCGTACGCAGACCTTATCCCTACCTCGTGAGGATAAAGAGGTTGCTTCCAATAGACCCTCAGCTCAAGAAAGCATAAGCACCGCTTCTATATTAGATTATGTCTTAATATCTCTATGTCTTGTTGATTTAATGTTGTATAAGTGGTGGGTTACCTAGTCGCGGAGATTAGGTGTCATCACGACCCCTATGGCTGAATTTGGGTCGTGACAAGTTGGTATCAGATTCCTAGGTTCATAGGTTCTAGGGTCATAAGTGAGTTTAGTAGAGCCTTGCGGATCGGTACGGAGACGTCTGTGTTTATTTTCGAGAGGCTGCCTGACTGTTAGGAAACATCACCGTTCATTCTTTATCGTGCCGATTTGTTATTCCCAAGTTTGAATCTTTACTCTTCTATTCTCTAACATATAGTGAGGACACGCTCCGTCGGATCAGCTGGGTAGGCACCAACACCCAGCGTTAGAGTCGCGAGGGGCCGGGGCCGAGGTAAAGACCGAGGAGGGGCACGTGCCGCAACTAGAGCACCTGCTAGAGCAGCAACTAGGCAGCCTCCGGTAGCTCTAGTTGAGATCAGGAACCCTGAGGGACCTATTGCTACAACGGAGCTCAAGGAGACCTTGGCACACTTCATGAGCATGTTTGGGAGTTTGGCCCAGGCAGGGTTGATCTCGGTCGCACCAGCTATCGCCCGTACACCGGAGCAACCGGCTCATGCTTCTCAGACATCGGGTGTTATGCCAGTACAGCCACTAGTTGCAATTCAGCCCGAGGTAGGGCCAGCTGCGTCTGCTGAGGGGCAGAAGAGGTTGGAGAAGTTTCAGAAACTTCATCCTCCCCGGTTCAGTGGAGGGGCTTCTGAGGATGCATAAGGTTTCTTGGATAAGTGCCACCGCATTCTGCGTACTCTAAGTTTGGTGAAGTCGAACGGAATTGACTTTACTGTTTTTCAGTTGATGGGGCCGGCATACAGGTGGTGGCAGACTTATGAGGCGAGTAGGCCAGCTAGCGCAGCACCACTTACCTAGTCCCAGCTTTCGGGTCTTCTCTTGAGGGAGTTTATTCCACAGACCCGCAGGGATGTGTTGCACAGTGAGTTTGAGCATTTGTGCCGGGGGTATGACTGTGACCGAGTATGCTTTGAGGTTTACAGAGTTATCCCACCATACAACTCTCTTTGTTTCCACTGATAGAGAGATAGTCTGTAAGTTTATTGAGGGACTCACCTACAGCCCCAGATTTGGGATGGCACGGGAGACAGAGACTGAAACTGCATTTCATCAGGTTGTGGAGATTGCTAGGAGGTTAGAGCGTGTCCGCGGACATGAGAGGGAAGATAAGGAGACTAAGAAGCCTCGTGGTTTCGGAGGTTTT